AATAAACAAATAAGAATTTACCTACAGGATAGCGTATAACTAAGGAGGAGGATGTACGATAATGGAGTGGATGCCTAACAGTAACTTCAACTGGGCGAGGAACAACAGACGAACACATACTGCATAACTAAATTACTCTTGAAATGTATTTATTTTAATCAAATTGTAATGGTAATCAGATAATTGTTAAGTATAGTCTCCGTTATATAATTAAATGATTTGTGCATTCATTTGGGAAAGTTTATGTAAGCTATACCGTGGTACGAGCATGCCATACAAGAGCTTCTTGAATTCTTTGAATTTATTTTATTTAAATGTAATTCTCTCTTTTATCTTGCTTATCTATTTGTTTCTTCTTTTTCTATTTTTTACTACACACACACACACACACACACATTTTATATGTATATGTATATACAATTTTGTGAATGCGGGTCCATTAATAAATAATATCAATGTCAATATAAATTCGAATTGCTTTGCATAACAATGCAAATACATTTCAATGCCTTTGCTCGATGCGTTATAAAATGTAATATTATTTACTTATGCATTGTATATAGGCATACACACACAAACACACACACGCAAATATGTGTATATATATATATATATATATTCCCATCCATTATGCACGCATATAGATGCATATTTACATCCATTTATGCATCCATATGAATGTGAATGGGTGTGTGTGTGTGTGTGTGAGTGCCGTTGTCTCTTGTTTCAATTGAAATGGATTGTTTCTTATTAGTGCTTAGAACTTTATATGACGAAGACCATCAGTCAATAAATAAAGAATTGCGCGTATATTTTATTAATGAATGCCAATGAATTGTGTCATTGACGTTTTTCAATTTTTTTTTTTTTTTTTTAAATTACTTTTTCCTTTTAGTAAAATTTTTTAGCAATCACTTAGAAAATATACCTAAGATTTTTGTCATAACTCTAACGTACCCCCCCATGAATAAAAGAGAGTAATAAGAAAAAAAGAAGAAGAAGAATTATATTCTGCTTAAGTGAGGTATTGCTTTTTTATACACACTTGAAAAATTCCAATTTTTTTCCGGACTAACTTACTTACTTATTGATCGGCAGATTTTACCTCCCTTTCGAAATGTCGCGAAAGTACGCAAGAACGGAGTTCGAAAAATATATTTGTTCTACATTAATTAGAGTAAGATTTCGAACTAATTTATTAAGCTCTGTCTGTCCATGTCCATTTACCTCTCATTTGTTTGTTCTCAATGTATTAAAGTTAAAAGTTAACATTTAGACTCTTAGTTAACGGCTAAAAATAAATAAATAAAATTTTCGTTGATGCATCAGAATAGTAAAATATATATATAAAAAAAAAAAACGAAAAATTGCGAAAATCATCTAAAATTAAATTTTAAAAGCAGGCGCGATTCGTTTAGAGACTTTCTCACAATATGCAAAAATCTTTAACTTACAATAGATGACGAACTGGATTAAACTCTCTACACATACTTTGCAGGAATATCTAATAGGTCAAGGTCGAACAGGTATCTTGGACTATCCAATGCATATTTTATCATTTAATGGGAAGAATTGAAGGTTATCTAACCATCTCCATCTGACCTTTCTATTGCTGAAATTCTCACAAGTGAAAAAACTAAGTAAAATATTATGGTATGGTAGTGACGACTATTGTCCACCCAATGGGAACAATATAACAATAAAAATGTGATTTTTTAATTATTAAATAAACTTGAAAAATTCATCCAAATAATTTAAGGAACAAAAATAAGTTTATTTTCTAAATGAAAGATTCAGTATATGAGACTTTTTCAGTCTTTCTACCATATAGATCTCATCTAGAAGAGATATTGGCAAAGATAATTGAGCCGATCATCTGCTCTGACTAGATAGTTGAACTAGATTTCTTAACATATTTAAAAACCCAGTCATCATACCACGAGGCATTAACAACAAAACGAAGACTCTTAGATCGGCCTTTTTTGAAGCACTTCATCATTAAAGTTACTGGCTAGCCGCATAAACGCGCTCACAATATGTTTTTCGTATAACAAGAACAACCAACATCTACAATTGTCGTTATTGGCCTTATGTTGACATCTGCAGTAATTACCGTTTAATTCCACGATGCGCGTAGGTATACACGAGATAAATGCAAAAAGCTAGCCGGCCCGGCCACTATGACAATATTACGGGTATACACTTCTCCTTGAGTGTTAGAGTGAGAATATAGGTATGAATGATTTTTTTCCCACAGGACAGAGACTAATTAATTAACATATTGATGTAACCACAGCCCACCACAAATTTCACCAAAAGGCCGCTCATAGCAAATTTGGCAAACAGTTATTCTTTGCAGTGCAATTCTTCTTGTGATCTCATCAGATTGTGGTTCCCACGATTTCAGACTATGTACTTTTTGCTTCTATCTTAAAATATATGTTATTAAAAGCACGCTTGCCTTCAAGTTATCCATCCTGTTTAGAGTTATTCATGTAAGGATTTTTCGAAAGTAATGTGTTGTATGGGAAGTGGTCATAAAAGTAGCCCGATCTGAACTATTTTTAATAGCGTTCGGCCTGGGGCCAAAACACGGCGGTATATAATATATAGCGGCTCAACATAAGAATACAAAATGGTCAAACGGACAGACAAGCTTATATCGATTCAGATAATGTTTCCGATTCGCGCGTTATAATAATAAAAGCTGTGTCTATCCTAAGTTCTTCCGATTTTTGTATACATCCGCACAAACTTAATATAATTTTGTCTCACGAGTCCTGCAGGGTACGAAAAGTCTGTGAGCAGAAATTTTCGGATACTCTCGTTAACCTCTTTATGGAAAGTTTCTCATAGCCGGGAAAAATAAATGTTTAATAAACTACGAATCGAATTCTTGCCACGATTACATATCGGATGTAGACAAACTCTACAATCTATTTACTGCCATAATCTATTTGCGTAGAAATATGATAATCTGAATTATTTTAATTATTACTATAATAGAATTATTTTTAATTTTGCTACTGCTCGGCGGGCGATAACTTGGATTGTCTACTCAACTTTTATACGATAAAACTGACTGTTGGTCTGGTTTGGTGGATAGATTAGAAATTCCCATAAACCTTTTGAAGATCACTCCGAAGATAATGTTTGCGACGAACTGAGCATAAATAATACACCAGTGCAGGCGAAGACGAACAGGAAAACTGACCTATAGAAGCAAGCAGACGGAAGGCAGAACGGCTTTGCTATGCAGAATCTTGCTGTGATCTAATATCGTTTATCTCTCTCTCTCTCTCTCTCTCTCTCTCTCTCTCTCTCTCTTTTTATAATAGGGTTATAATAAAGCTTAACGGCTTTGAATAGTATGAAGTAAATAAGTGAGGCTTTAGTTCGAAGATTTAAACATTTCATACATAAATACCTCGTTTACAGTTCTATCGATTCTTGTATGCATTATAATAAATAGATTCATTCTATATTAAGCACTTAACCGCGTCAAGCATTTAAGGGCTTACTTCATACTTCAATTTTATTTGTTGACGACAAACATAATATTTTATGACGAAATTAATTATTAAGTTATTATTAGCGAAGCAGTAATGGGCAGTGGGCTCTAACAGCAAACCGTAACAGTGTAAGCTGCTAACGAAATGATAGAACTTGTTCACCAAGCTTAACGATGCCTATAAAAAATGCGACAATAACATTAGTTAAGTAAAAATAAATTTCAGATACGCTTTTGTAGGTAAAGAAATTGAACTGGAGCGAGCGCTCGTTACGTTCGAAAGCAAAAATTCTGAATATTCTTTCAGCTTTAAAAACATAATAAAGAGAGATTTATATGCGTGGAGTTATATATATAGGCAACATGCCTAGATGTTTATTTGCTTAGGTGTGCAGTGTTGCAGACACCCTTAATATAGAATTGTTTCGTTTTAAATGGCGTCAACAAATCAATTCCGCATCACGGCGTATTGATGAATGGCGTGTTAGGCGTGTGACTTACAACATCTTCTCGCATATAAAAGCAACGCAGTGACTTGTTAGTAATGGAAAGAAAGTAAATAAATGATTGCTTTCGTTATCCGATAGTAGTAGCAGTAGCTTTGGCTATAATTGTTCAAAACGTTTATACGATACAAGAAGAATTAGTTAGTGTGCATGTATGTACGTATGTATGCGTGTGTGTGTATGTATGTGCATAACACGCAAAATTAATAATATAAAGCAACTTAGGGAAAATCAACAAACCCTAGTCATCATTATATTAACGATGATGATGATGATGATGATGATGATGTTGATGATGATGACGATGATAATGATAAAGATAAATAAGATGGAAACTTTTCGTCTGATCTCGATGGAAGCCCGGTGTTCTTACACTTATCTTCCTTCGAAATTTTAGCTCGAAAATGTTTATATATATTTGTGTCAAGTCAAAGTGTGCAGCAACAAAAGTGTTATTAGCACTGGCTAACCGACCGGCATAGTTCAAAAGCATATATGTATGATACATTGTCATATATTGCGTCGTTGCTATTGTCTATAAACTTTTATTATTCATTCATTTCATGTAAACGTACGTGTGTCTGTGTCTGTGTGTGTGTGTGTGTGTGTGTGCGTGTGTGTATGTGTGTGTGTATGCGCGTGTGTATGCGTATATTTTGAATTTGAAATTCTCAATTCTGTTATGCTGATGCAGTCGATGCTTAAGCGTATTTAAAAAACGTACCTGCGCAGTATGGGCTCGACCGGTAGGGGTACTGGCACCAGTAGACATGCCGCTATCGTTGCCACCAACACCCACATTTGCTGTTATCTTTCTGTTACTGCAGTTGCTGTTGTTTATGGGCATTGAATGTAAAAATTGCTGTTTGGACGGTTTGTTAGATTTTTGCGGCCGGTGCAGTTGATATTTTTGTTGTTCATGCTGTTGTTGCTTTGGTTCGTAGTTTTTATTAGCAACGATTTGATGTTGGTTTGTTCGTATTGTTTGTTTAGTTGATTGATCGTCGCTATTACCATCAACAACCATAATTGTAGTTTTTTGCACTTGCACTTGAGTGGATTGTTGTTGTTGATGTTGTCGTGATTGTTGCAATTTCATTATATATGCGTGAAACTAGAAAAGACACCGCTCGCTAGAGAATATCAACTAACTTTTTTCTTTTTTTTTTTAAAATTATTTTTTTAACTTTTTTAAAAATTTTAATTTCAATTTTAACATTTTATATATTTCTATCTCTACATATCTTTCTTTTGCTTTTGCACTTTCACAACCACAATATCCTTAAATAGGTATGCGACCAATTCTTAACCTTGAAGTTTTCGTCTCCGCACCATATATTCAACTGAATTTTGCTGAGCTTTACAACAACAGTTTTTCCCCATTTTTCTGTTTTTTTTTTTTTTTTATTACTTTTATTTTTTATTCATTTTTTATTCATTTTTTTTTTTTTTTGCTATTTTTTACTTACATATATTTCCGCCTGAGAAACAAACCCTGCACGCTCTTTATATATATATATATATATATATGTATATATACATATGTGTAGCTGTGTAAGTTTTGTGTTACTGCGCATTTAGATGTTTTCCGGGAGTGAAGAAAACATTACACATACACGGACGAACGCAGCCGCATGAACAAACATGTACAGGCCTAGAAAACATCACCGGCATTTGTATCAAGAGAGCTTAAATCATTGAATTTAGTTTATTTACACTGTTGTACTGCTAATTCAAAAGAGAATCCATCCTCGATATCGCAGGCCTATACACGCCTATATACATATAAAGAAATGTTTCCAGCCACACACTTATTCAGTCACTAACTCTAACGGCTGGCTGCGGTGGTATGGATTGCATAATAACTCGGCTTGTTTGAGGGTAGCGAGATAAGGAATATTGTAAACAAGACAAAGGTGACCAACATTTAAAAAAAAAAAAAAAATTAAATCAAAATTTCCTTGGTGGAGTTGTCATCATAGGACATACCAAACATAAATAAATATAAAGAGAATGTACTTACTGCTCTGCGCTATCAGTAACAAATGTCTCAACCGAAGATAGGTGAAAATTTTCAAGTACATTATGATAACCGCACATTAAGGTGAAGAACAACATAAATACCAATGTAATATTTGAAATATGTATATCATAATTATAAGCATGGAATGAATAGCCGAACTACATTGAACGAGCTTTTCTGCTTGGAAGTTGCCATTTGTTACGCAGCTCTTGAAAGAACATCTCGTTTTCAATCTTGGGAATTCCAAATTAACATAGAAGTAAATTATATACTCCTTCGATTGAAGACAATCGCAAGCATATTTGCGAATGCACATTACTCAGCTTCGATCTTGATCTGTCGGCCCAATTTAAAACCCCTTTCTTATCTTATCAAATTTCCGTAGCACTTGATGCTAATTTCTACATGTTACAGGAAAAAGGGCCACAAATTTGACATACTTTCCCGGCGACGTACCGCTAACTTTCATTGACGATATATATGAAAAAAAAATAAAAACAAAACAAAATTGAATCGAAAGCTTTACAAACAATTTTTGGCGAATATATAAAAATTTGTTAAATTGTTATCGAAGAGCACGTATCGGAAACATCTTAAACTATACATGTTCACGATTTGCATGAATGGCGAGTTCAGTTGCATTAGATTCATCTGTCATGAATATTACGCTTAAGACTTGACGATAATGCGTAAAACATTAAATTTCATTTGATTTTGCTTACGTTCATCAAGTTTAAACATCAGGATCTCTCGCTGTTAGCAGAATTTTGTCACTTATTTATTGTAAAATTATATATATATATATATATATGTATACACTTTCATAAATATTATGGTGATATGATTTACATATATAGCATATCTATACTGCCTATATACCTGTCTATAAAGTTAAAAAAAAACATATGCATTTGGTCACCTTAATTTGTCGTTGTCTAGCAGGCATCAAGGGCTGTTTTTTAAGCTAACAACTAAATTCCGGTGTTTTTCATTTTTATATTTGATCAAAATATTTATCATTGTTATCATCATTATTGTTGTTGGCGAGCAAAATGTGCAAAAACAATTACAGCAAGCAAACAATTAAATAAAAACAGCTTTTCTTAGACGCGAGCATGCAATTTATTTCAATTTTAATTTTCTTCCAAGTTTTTGTATTAAAAAAAAAAGGAAATTTTTATATACTTGTATAATAAATTTTACATATAATATAATTTTATCCATGTATAATAAACATTCATACAATATGTAATAACGTATGTATTTCTCTTCTCACATCATAATTTATGTAATGACTTTTGTTAGTTGAATAAAATTTTACGAGTCTATAAAAAAAATATATATATAAATTTTGTTTTTATTTTTTTTATTTATTTTTTTTTTTGGTTGTATTTTGATCAAATTTGTTGACAATTTTATTATCATTTCAAAAGAAAGTCGCCAACGTCTATGGAAAAAGAGACTTAATTTATTCCATTCGTACACGAATGAGAATTGAAGTGTGCAAATTTTACATATTTAAAAATAAATGATCATACATACAATATGAATATGGATATATATATATATATATGCATATGCATATGCATATGCATATGCAATTTGTGGAAAAATTTTTTGTTAGCTTGGAGCACAAATTTGCATTAGGTTCAGTGAACTTTTTTTCCCGTAGATTCAGAAAAGTGAAGCGCCATGAACAGGAATTGTATGCGCCATGAAACGAAACGAATCATCGACACTTCTCCTTATTCAAGATTTTTTGGGGCGAACTTCATTGCGAAATATGGTATGGATTTAATTGACAAGCGTGCATCTCAGCAAAGTTATCAGAACTTGATTATTCGAACAACAAGTCAAGCTCTTTATAAATTCTTTTATCGCAGTTTTGCCTCAGAATTCAGCAAGCTTTCAATTTATCGGCCTTATTTTTTTTTTAATGAGTTCTTGCAAAATTTCCGGAACTTACTTTATATGCAATGATTAGTGTTTGCAGTTTTAAGCGGATCACTCTTTTTACGAAGCAATTAAAATATAGCAATGCTACGAATATAACGGAATCATTTGGAAATCTTTTTGAATCCATTCGAAAATCAAGTTAGAAAGAAAGTTAGATTCCCTTATATTTCAAATACATATAATATATGGTGCAATGCAACCAAAAGACATTTAGTTGCCTGTCGTCTTCTAGATCACCCCAAAAAATACTATATATAATATGTGTGTCAAACTTCTCATAAATATCTCATATTATATACTTTTCTCTCATGTAGGCTTGCTTGATTGAGGACTGATTATATCCAATTTCCAAACACGGCCTACGATAGTCAATTAAAAATATATACCCTAAGGTTCAGCTTTCGATTTCATTGCGTCAAACGACGGTTATCGTTATAATAATAAAGGATTAGTAGATAGGCAAACGGTTAAATGGACCGATATAATTAAAACATCTCAAAATCTCACTTTAATCAAAAATTTATTTACATTTTGAAATCTTTGATACGCATTTCCGGACAATTTTTCAAATTAATGTCTTTTATAAATCCAAAGTTTTGGTTTAGTGTAAATATTCTTGATACTTGCCCTTAACTTAATATCTACTAGAAAGAAGAAGATTGTTTGCCTTTCATATGGGAATCATGATCATAGCGAAACTCGGCTTATAGTTCTGTTCTGAAAAGCTTTAGAGTACTTTTTCAATATTTGCTCTCGTGAGTTTGTAAGCGATCGTGTGTGATAGACGAACAAATCGGCGGATAGAGAGAAACGGACCGATGGCCAGTGGGAATTTTACGTTGATCCGGTACCTATGGACATGTGTGTGATTGTAATGAACGGACGGACGTATATGATGATAAACATAAAAATTTAAAGATTAAATATAGGATTTCAAGTAATCCTTTCAGAGGAAAAGTCTTAATAGCCGAATTGATTTCCCCGGCTATTAGATCCCAAATGTGTTTTCAGAAGTCAGAGCGGCAGACTGAATGTCTATATTCTTTCCGCTACTGATGCGACTGATTGAAAATATAGATGGCATATGGATAAGAGTTGGGTGAGCGCAGCAAACATTTAAAAGATTTGTGTGAATATGTGTTTTATGAAATGCTCACTAAATGTTCTAACAAGTATGCCAGGTGCCGGGACAAAAGAAAATTGTGAAAAAAAATTATTAAGAAGAGACAAAATATCATGTGCAAGAGATATCAACCATCCACCACCGTCCCCAATGCCAACATAAACTAAGCATAGAATTTATTGAGATTCTTTTTATTTATTTATTTATTTTTTTTTTTTTTGCGTTGTTTGCGCAACTCATTCTAAAAATGGATCTGTGGCGATACTAAGCAAAGCTATTCATTTTGCCATTTACTTGTAAAACGTGCAATGATGAATATGCGGCAATTATTGACATGATAGAGTCTGTCAACAAAGCTTTTAATGCTCATGACCAGTTGACCGCAAAGCAGCTACAGCTACATAAAGCGACTGAGCAATTTTAGCAAGAGCAGAGCAGAGCAGAGCAGAGCAGAGCAGAGCACAGTAAAGCATGCCCATGTTGCTTGTAAGAATGCTGTATTGAATTTCTTTACAAGGAATTGGAGTAACACTTGATAAACCCACGTACGTACATGCGTACGCATACACAAAATGCTCACGAATTACACAAAATAATATATATTCCAAGCAAGTACTAACATATTTATTTTTTTCAGTCGGTAAATATTGCACTTGTAGTTGAAATGTATCTCAACATTTTTTTTTCCTTTTTTTTTTTTTTTTTTAAATTTTCGTTTGTAGTTCAACAAAAAAAAGAAGAAGAAGAAAAAAAACAAATGAAAAATAAATATTTGTTTTAATCATGAAATAACATCAAAGAGCGATGGCGATGGCGAGGAGCGATGATGATGGACAAGCACGACGCGAGAGAAAACTGCATTAAAATTTTGTTTTTGTTTTTTCATAATTATGTTGCAACAATATTCAGATTCATCGGCCGACCATATTCATACATACGCACTTGTTTTTTTTTTTTTTTTCTTTTTTCTTTTTTCTTTTTTAAACATTTATCGTAATATGCAAGACTGCGCAAAATGCTTTCCAGCAATCGTTTCTTTCTTTGTGTAATGAGT